CTCCACTTGTTTTGTACAAGTGATCTCGGTGATGTCGCCGAGATCACTGGTATGCAGCCTGCAGGTCTGCCATTCTCCATGGTGGGTGGGAGAGGGGGTTGTCGGGTAGGGGGGCGCATTGAGAAACCTGGCCATGGGGCAGCAGAGAGAGTAAATCCGGGCCTGGTCATAAGTGGTGGCCCCCATGTTCTCCTCAAATAACTAATAACTCAACTGTGTTGCCACAGTTTTTAGTAGGAGGTCATAAGCAAGGCGGTATTCCCACAAGGCCAACCAAGGACCGGCCTTGGGGCAGCAGGGAGTAGAGGGGCAGCAGGGGGTGGAATTCCTATCTCCAGACGCCCGGGACATGCAGTTCCGGGCGCCGGGCGGGTAGTTGTAGGGGGGCGCATTGAGAAACCTGGCCATGGGGCAGCAGAGAGAGTAAATCCGGCCCTGGTCATAAGTGGTGGCCTCCACATTCTCCTCAAATAGGTTTCTTTAAAGGTGTGAATGGAAATAGATGTGAACACACTCGGCTTAATATAAGTCATGTTTATCTAAAGCCAGGACCTTTTAGTTTTGGGTCGAGTAGGGTAAGTGTTAGAACCTCGAACTTCAGAATTTGAGGGACACATTGGCGGCAAGAAATGAGTTTGGCTGCGCTGTGCTGAATATAGGCCGTGGTTCAATAGACTCTGAGCCTACTAGCAGTATACACTGCGCGTATCTACCGCACTCTGCTCCCTAATCACTTTCGGCAAATGAATCTATTCCGGTACATACGCTTTACTGCGCACAGGATATAGACGCAGAGCTGTGTGTGAGTCAACTCTAAAAAAACAACTTCATTCAAACAGTTTGGGACCGTATAGCAACCGGCAACAGCCGGGACTAGGAATATATAATGTACAGCACAGGTTACGGAGCACAGTGATGGGGAGTATGTCATGATCAACATAGCGTACAGGATGCAGGAAATAAAAAGTACCCAACGTTGGTGGTCAGTGGGAGGAAGAATGCCATGGCATCAAGGTCTATGATAAGAACAATGTCCTGGTATCACTGGTCAGTGGGAGGATGAATGCCCCCGGTACTGGCAGCCAGCCAGTGGGAGGTACAATGCCTCAATATTTGCAGTCAGTGAGGGGAAAAAAGCTCCCCAACTGGCGGTCAGTGGCGGAAAGAATTACCACTGTGTTGATGATCAGTGTGGGAAGAATGGCCTGACTTCAGGAGGATGAAAAATGCTCCATTATCAGTGTGCATGGGAGGAAACATGCCCTGCCATGGGTGTGCGTGGGAGGAAACATGCCCTGCCATGGGTGTGCGTGGGAGGAAACATGCCCTGCCATGGGTGTGCGTGGGAAGAAACATTTCCTTTCATTAGTGCGCATGGGAGGAAACATACCCAGCCATGGGTGTGCGTGGGAGGAAACATGCCCTGCCATTAGTGTGCATGGGAGGAAACATGCCCTGCCATGGGTGCGCATGGTAGAAAACATACCCTGCCATTGGTGCGCATGGGAGGAAACATGCCCTGCCATGGGTGCGCATGGTAGAAAACATACCCTGCCATTGGTGCGCATGGGAGGAAACATGCCCTGCCATGGGTGCGCATGGTAGAAAACATACCCTGCCATTGGTGCGCATGGGAGGAAACATGCCCTGCCATGGGTGCGCATGGTAGGAAACATGCCCTGCCATGGGTGTGCGTGGGAGGAAAAATGTGCCCCCATAGCTGGCCACTTGAATGAATTACGCACCCAATTTTTGAGTCGGGGGAGGAAAATTGCCCTGGCTTTGGCGTATTGCAGGAAGCATGCCCTGCCATTCGTCAGTGTAAGGAAGAAGAGGAAGGCGGAACCCCCTTTAGCACTGTTGGGAACCCGGGAACCCCCATCCCAAGCTTTTGGATCAGTGGAGAAATCTCCCACTCCCACTTCTCTAAGTGGAGGCTCCTGTCCCATACCGCTGCATCTCATGCTGATGACTGATGGTATAAATGCTGAAAATTTGCATACACTGTCGGCCTTGAGATCACTGCGCCCAACAGTGTCAGCACAGATGCTTGCTGTGGAGGGGGCTGTAACAAGTGTCCCAGCACCTGTCACTGGGACACTGACTGGGCCTGTGGGTTCCTGGGATTTTAATGGAAACTTGAGAGGGTCCTACTGGATCTCTGACTGGTTAAAGGAAAGCTCTACTAGAAGTACAGTTATTCTTCAACAAGTAGCAGATGATGATCGGTGAGCTCAATAGATCTGTCTGGCATAATGGGAACAGTACGTGTAGGGACACACAGATCACGGTATCTTTTACGCCTAAGGTGCTGTACAGGCGGTAACCAGTTTTAGTCCAGGATACAGGCCGATGATCCCTACTACTGTTCTCTAATCATTGTCCCCAGACAACCACCCCCCTTTCCTAATGTGTCACCACCCTCTCCCCAGCCTGAAACGACCCCTGGGACTGGCATGTGGAGTGACATTGAACTCCATGATGGGATATACAACATTTTGCAGCAGTCAGCGGAGCAGGACGGGAGGAGAAATCTTGAGGAACAGAACAGAAAACGGCCTTCCCCAAACTGTTACCACGAGGTTGGAAGAGTACAATCCTCTACAATGTCTTTGTAAGCTGAAGAATTAACAGTAGACATTGGAAAGACCTGAGCTGAATCATTGGAGGGGTTGGCCATATAATTGGCCATACACTAGATGTGATGGTCAGGTGTCCACATACCTCCATAGTGGAACCAAACCAGGTAATGTCAGCCTACATCTCCCTTCATATTGCTCTTCCTACATGATCAGAATATGACTGAGAACAAGGGCCTCATAGAGACCTGATACTTGGCCTCCTCTCTACATGCACCCCCATGGCCTTATGACTCATAGCACCACCATGGCCTTATGACTCATAGCACCCCCATGGCCTCATAGCACCCCCATGGCCTTATTTCTCATAGCACCCCCATGGCCTCATGACTCATAGCACCCCCAAGGCCTTATGACTCATAGCACCCCCAAGGCCTTATGACTCATAGCACCCCCAAGGCCTTATGACTCATAGCACCCCCAAGGCCTTATGACTCATAGCACCCCCAAGGCCTTATGACTCATAGCACCCCCAAGGCCTTATGACTCATAGCACCCCCAAGGCCTTATGACTCATAGCACCCCCAAGGCCTTATGACTCATAGCACCCCCATGGCCTCATAGCACCCCCATGGCCTTATTTCTCATAGCACCCCCATGGCCTCATGACTCATAGCACCCCCATGGCCTTATGACTCATAGCACCCCCATGGCCTTATGACTCATAGCACCCCCTTGGCCTTATGATTCATAGCACCCACATGGCCTCATGACTAATAGCACCCCCATGGCCTTATGACTCATAGTACCCCCATGGCCTTATGACTCATAGCACCCCCATGGCTTCATGACTCATAGCACCCCCAAGGCCTTATGACTCATAGCACCGCCATGGCCTTATGACTCATAGCCCCCCCATGGCCTTATGACTCATAGCCCCCCCATGGCCTTATGACTCATAGCCCCCCCATGGCCTTATGACTCATAGCCCCCCCATGGCCTTATGACTCATAGCCCCCCCATGGCCTTATGACTCATAGCCCCCCCATGGCCTTATGACTCATAGCCCCCCCATGGCCTTATGACTCATAGCCCCCCCATGGCCTTATGACTCATAGCCCCCCCATGGCCTTATGACTCATAGCCCCCCCATGGCCTTATGACTCATAGCCCCCCCATGGCCTTATGACTCATAGCCCCCCCATGGCCTTATGACTCATAGCCCCCCCATGGCCTTATGACTCATAGCCCCCCCATGGCCTTATGACTCATAGCCCCCCCATGGCCTTATGACTCATAGCCCCCCCATGGCCTTATGACTCATAGCCCCCCCATGGCCTTATGACTCATAGCCCCCCCATGGCCTTATGACTCATAGCCCCCCCATGGCCTTATGACTCATAGCCCCCCCATGGCCTTATGACTCATAGCCCCCCCATGGCCTTATGACTCATAGCCCCCCCATGGCCTTATGACTCATAGCCCCCCCATGGCCTTATGACTCATAGCCCCCCCATGGCCTTATGACTCATAGCCCCCCCATGGCCTTATGACTCATAGCCCCCCCATGGCCTTATGACTCATAGCCCCCCCATGGCCTTATGACTCATAGCCCCCCCATGGCCTTATGACTCATAGCCCCCCCATGGCCTTATGACTCATAGCCCCCCCATGGCCTTATGACTCATAGCCCCCCCATGGCCTTATGACTCATAGCCCCCCCATGGCCTTATGACTCATAGCCCCCCCATGGCCTTATGACTCATAGCCCCCCCATGGCCTTATGACTCATAGCCCCCCCATGGCCTTATGACTCATAGCCCCCCCATGGCCTTATGACTCATAGCACCCCCATGGCCTTATGACTCATAGCACCCCCATGGCCTTGAGACTCATAGCACCCCATGGCCTTATGACTCATAGCACCCCCATGGCCTTATGACTCATAGCACCGCCATGGCCTTATGACTCATAGCACCCCCTTGGCCTTATGACTCATAGCACCCCCATGGCCTTATGACTCATAGCACCGCCATGGCCTTATGACTCATAGCACCCCCATGGCCTCATGACTCATAGCACCGCCATGGCCTCATGACTCATAGCACCCACATGGCCTCATGACTCATAGCACCCCCATGGCCTTATGACTCATAGTACCCCCATGGCCACCCCCACGTGTCCTCATGATTCATAGCCCCCCCATGGCCTTATGACTCATAGCACCCCCTTGGCCTTATGACTCATAGCACCCCCATGGCCTTATGACTCATAGCACCCCCTTGGCCTTATGACTCATAGCACCCCTATGGCCTTATGACTCATAGCACCCCCCTGTCTGCCACGTCTCTGAGTCTGGACATCACCTAGTCAATGTACAATGCAGGTATCAGAGTAAAAGACTGAGTGAGGACTTCTCACCTCTAGCTGGTGTAGTGTCATCCGGCCGCTGGCTGCCCACAGACACCTTAACATAGTCCATCTCTTCTTGTTTGATGGGCTTAAACGTTACCTGCCCTGCAAATGTAAGAAACCAGCCGCTGTCAGTAATTGCTGACGTGTGAGTGCATCCAGCAGGCGCAATGTCTATACCTTGTTCTTAGTTTGCAGACATACTAAGTATACTAAAGGAGTGGTGATGATGTCACAGTTTAAAGATGTAAACCCAATTCACAAACGCATACATAAAAAGATGCTTTGCTCTACTTCCTTCGCCACTGCAGCCCGGGATGCTGGTCTCAACAGCAGGGCCCTTGTTACCTTCATAGACTGTCCAAGTAAGATAAACTGGTGGAGCCCAAATATTATCTATAATTCTTTGTTCTTTATAAAACCCAAAAGCCAGTACATCATAGCAACAAGACTTTAACGCGTTTGGGCTACACAAGCCTTAGTCACATTCATGAGGAGCTTGCATCAAATATTCAGAAGATCGGTCAGAATGTGAGCACAATGTGAGGTCACATCAGAGCACAATGGCTCCAATGAGGCCGCTCTCTACAATAACGTCATGTCCACACATACAAGGGAATCCAGAGTTGAAGATATAGGTATATATACAGCAGTGACGTGCCTTCTGTGCTGGGTGAGGCATCCCCCAGCCCGCCGAAGCTCTGCCCCGTCCTGCTGAAGCCCGCCCCTAGCTCGGTAACCAAGCTGTGGGGGAGGAGGAAGGGAGGAGACAGGGAGGAGCCTCCTTGTCCCTCGCTTGCTCGTCACTGGTGAGGCATTGAGATCGATGTCCTCACTTTGCCATTGGTCCAAGCCATCCGCAGAATTCACGCCTCTAACAAAGAGTAGAGGCTGTTGCAGCTCTTGCCTCACTGGTTAGGTTACACAAGCAGTGGCGAAGCCCGCTGCTGTGTAAGCTAACTTAGCTGTCAAAAGCCGGATGCAGCGCCGCCTGTAATTAATAGGCAGCACTCCGTCCATGACAGGTTACACAGGGGGGGTGCGGGGGGGATTTCCCTGCTCTGTAACCTGTAACAAGCCGATCTGAATGGAGAAAAAGCTGTCAGCTTCAGACTTTTTCTTCATAATACTAGGTGAGGCTCCACCCCACCTGCCTCCCTTGACCGCACGTCCCTGATATACAGTCCATGTTATGACGAAGGCTCTTATAGCTGAAACACATTAGCATCTTGTTGCTCTGATGTATGCATTTCAGCTACGTGAGCCTTAGTCATAGTTATAACTAAGGCTTGTAGAGTGGAAACGCATTAGCATCTTCCTGCTGTGATGTACTTGATTTTGGTTTCAGAAGACTTATGGATCGTATTTGGACTCCAGCGGTTTCACTTAGATGTAAACCCAATCGCTAAAGTCTCATATTATCTTTACCATGTGACTATAATTCAAGTCATTTTACATTTTTAAACCTGGAGCTTTTATTAAAACAATACACCATGAAGGTACTTGTTGACACGCTTCCTGTTATAGGGTGACAACACTCTGTCCCTGTCTACCAACTGCTCTCTTGCATTGTCACAATGTCACGCGCGTTTCCGGAAGAGACAATAAGCAGCCGTGGCAAAGCTAGCGAGTACTGAATGGACCCGAGATTGAATTGCCATACCACGAGTCATCAGTCCAGAAACAAATTAATTCCAGTGTAAGATCAACAAAAATAAAGACCAGAACTCCGAGCATGGTGGCGGACTTACATCGTTTTTGCCATTGGTTATATATGTGTGGAAGGACATATGGCCAATTACTCTCCATACACATAGCGGTCCATTATT